CGCTTGCCTTGCATGCATGAGGCCCTGGGTTCGATTCCTCAGCACCACATAAGCAAAAAGAAAAAAGCCGGAAGTGGCACTGTGGCTCAAGTGGTAGAACGCTAGTCTTGAGGTGAAGAACTGAGGGACAGCGCCCAGGCCCAGAATTCTGGCCCCACGACCAGACCCAAAAAACAAAACAAAACAAAACAAATCTTGAGTCCACTGACTCATTTTGTGTTTGTTAACTCCTTATTTCTCTGGTAGTTGGCTCAGAGTACTAATGACATTTTTAAGATTGTAAGGAATTTTAGAAAAAGTTCTTTAGTAAATAATAACCTACTTAGGACTGATGTTAATTTTTAAAGCACATTGTCTTTCCAATGAGCTTCACAACCATGAAATTGTTTTTATATCCATGTAAAATGAGCTAAATTCTTTGCATAATCTAAGAATAAATAGCCTAAACATTTTACCTGAAATATCCTAGCAGTTGAGGTAGGAGTTATGTGGTTCATTTCACTTTTCTCTTGCCTCCAGAGACACAATTTATTTTCATTCATGCAAACCACAACGGAGCACAAGTTCAGCTATTTCAACAATCCACTGGGCTTTCCACAGCAAAGATTCAGTTGTAGGATGTCCAGATCAAATGGACAGATAATAGCAAAATACACAAACTATTCTGAGCTCATATTTTTCCTGGTTAGTTGTGTCTTTTAGGCAAAGTTACATTTGCATGGATCTTTAACAAAGAGCTTTCTACAGAAATACCATTTAACAATATTTAATCGCTAAATATGATTGAATGAATTTATTTTCTAAGGACAGATTAGAAGGAAATAAAAATAAATTGTGGTTTTAGAGAATTGGAAAACTTCAAAAGAAAAAAAAAGACCATATTTTTGGATCAGTCTTTTTGGGCTGTAACAAAAGATGTGTAGTACAAGCAAGACCAAAAAGTCAGTGTAGCTGGTGAGAATAGGGGCCCAGCAGCTCCTGGATTCAGTCTAAGAGTCCTTGTATCCTCAAGTTATTTTAAATGTCAGGCAGAACGATGGAGCTTTCTGAAATCACTTTGTTGAGGTCCCTGAAATTGAAAGCACTTTGAAGAAATAGATCTGGGTTATGCATGAAGCTAGACAAACAGGCATGTGTTAAAGTACCACAAATGCTGTTGGGTGCTATGGTCAGAGCCACAGTAGGAAAAATGTTGTCTGTGCCACTTCTCTGTTCCCAAACCTTTCTATGTCCTTCCCCCCCCACCCCCAGTTGGTTGTGGAGCTTGAACTCAGGGCCTGGGCTCAGTCCTTGAACCTCATTGTGCTCAAGGCTAGCGCTCTACCACTTGAGCCACAACACCACTTCTGGATTTTGAGTAGTTAATTGTAGATAAGAGTCTCACAGGACTTTTCTGGTCGGTTGTGGGGCCTGAACTCTGAGCCTGGGCGCTGTCCCTCAGCTCTTCAGCTCAAGACTAGTGTTCTACCACTTGAGCCACAGCGCCACTTCCAGGTTTTTTCTGCTTATGTGGTGCTGAGACCCAGGGTCTCATGCATGCAAGGCAAGCACTCTACCACTGAGCCACCTTCCCAGCCCCTCACAGGGACTTTTCTGCCCAGGCTGGCTTCAGGACATGATCTTCAGATCTCAGCCTTCTGAGTAGTTAGGATTACAGGCATGAGCCACTGGTGCCCAGCTTATGTCTGTTCTTTTTATCAACACCTTCCTAAGCCCAATTTCTGTTCTTGGGCTTATAAGGTGTTAGTAGTAGATTAGAGTGAGTTCTTGTAAAGAGACTTCAACTTTGCTGGTTCAAATCTTGAGGTATTTCTGAAGACCAAAAACAATGACTCTATTCAGATAACTCTAATAGCAGGCAATGAGTTAACCTATTTTGGATAAGTCACCCTTGAAATATGAAGTTTCTAAACCAATTGTCATGGTAACTATTTTTAGATCTTTTTTTAGATCATATAACCTTTTCATTGTCTTGCTACTGGTCAAAGTTTAGCTCTGCAATTTTTATTATAATTCTTTTTTTTTTTTTGGTCCAGTCATGGGGTCTGAACTCTGGGCCTGGGCACTGTCCCTCAGCTCTTCAGCTCAAGGCTAACGCTCTATCAGTTGAGCCACAGTGCCAGTTCCAGCTTTTTTTTCTTTTTGCTTATGTGGTGCTGGGGAATCGAACCCAGGGCCTCATGCAGGCAAGGCAAGCACTCTACCATTGAGCCACCTTCCCAGCCCTGCAATTTTTATTATAATGTTACTATTTTTAAGTAGTTGTGCAAAGGGGTTATAATTCAACATGTCAGTTTACAAGTACAATGCATCTTAACGTGTTATCCCTTTCATCATTTCTGTCATCTTTTCAGAACTTGGTATCATTAAGGTCAGATAAAAGACTTTACAGTTTTCTACACTTTTATATTTACTGCTGTCAATTGGATTCAGATTGACTAAAAAGATAGTCCTAATTGAAAGTGGTTGTCTTTGCTAACTTTACTTCTCAAAATACACAAAGGCACAACATTTTGAGACTCATTACCAATAAAGACTGCAAAATCTCCTACTTTGGATTACTATATTAGAAGAGAGGGCATATGTACAATGTATTGATCTATATGCATATTACTTTTATTCTCTCTGTTCTCAGACTATAAACTATTTGGCAGGATTTCCACATTATAGTTGTGTTTCTTGTTTCAGCTAACACTGAACTTTGGAAGTAGTAGACATTCAGTAAGATTTGCTTAAATGAAATATTTTATCAATCACACAGGAATTATTGGGCAGTGAAGAAATTATGGAGGAAGAGAGATGTAATCAAAGATCACACCAGATGTTAAATAAACTACAGGTAAGATGGTAGAAGTTATCAACTCTTCTTTTTAAAATGTTCCTCTGGGGCTGGGGAATGTGGCTTAGTGATAGAGTGCTTGCCTAGCATGCATGAAGCCCTGGGCTCGATTCCTCAGAACCACATAAACAGAAAAAGCAAGAAAGGGGTGTTGTAGCTCAAGTAGTAGAGTGCTAGCCCTGAGTAAAAGAAGCTCAGGGACAGTGCTCAGGCCCTGATTCAAGCCCCAGAATTGGCAAAAAAAAAAAAAAAGTTTCTCTGTACATCACCTGCATAATAACAATTTTTTAAATCCTAAGAAAATAAATAAAATTTTGACTTCATCACATATATTTATGAAAACAGAACAAGTTGTCTTATGTTTTGATTGAAGACAAATTCCACTAGAGTGAGGTGATTTTGAGTGATGTGCCTACTGCTAAAATATACCATTTGATGGTAGCATATTCTAATACACTTCTAACTACATTTATGCTTCTAGTTATCTATGTCCCATAATAATGATAACTCATTTTTAAATTTTAATTTGAATATTTACCATAACAACATGTCCAACAGTACTATGTTAAAAGGCTGAAAAGATTGAAGTCTTTTAACCTTCCCTTCCTTCTGAGTCCAATTTACCAGATGTAACTATATTAGACTGTTCCTTTTATTATTTATATCCAGATTCCTACCTGGTATACTTTTACTGCTTTTTTTTTGGGGGGGGAGGCATTGTGGGGCTTGAACTCTGGGCCTGGGCACTATTCCTGAGTTCTTTAGCTCAAGGTTAGCACTTCTACCACTTGAGCCCACAGTGCTACTTCTGGTTTTCTGGTGGTTAATTAGGGATAAGAGTCTCATATACTTTCCTGCCCAGGCTGGCTTTGAACCGTGATCCTCAGATCTCAGGCTCCTGAGTACCTAGGGTTACAGGCATGAGCCACTGGCACCCCACCAATTAACAAAATTTAAGGCTGAACTATCAAGAAAGAGCAGTAAGTGGGGCACAGGCATGAGCCACCAGCACCGGGCCTTATCTGTTTTATCTAAGAACAAGACAAAAAAATGAATCAGAAGTTACATGTTAGGGCTTGTATGTAGGCTTACAGTCTTTAGAGTAAGTTAAATAGGCAGTGCCTTTTCTCTAGATACCTTTTGCTAAAAGGCTTCTCCTCCACCTCTCCCCCCTAGAAGGGATGGTTTTCCCAGAGCAGTTATGAAATCTGCAGACCAGAATATATAAGCATAACACTAGTGGCTTAGGAACCAACAGGAGGTAAATCAGGCACTGTTCATCTTTCAGAGCAGGTGTGGAATGTTGCTCAATCCCCTAGTTTGTGATTCAATACTTCTTCCCTACTTACATAGCTGGTATTCTAAATCCAGAGCCTCAAGGATTGGTATCTTTGGAAAGAAACCTTCTTGCCTCCTGTCACATGCATAGTTGTCCCTGATTCTGTGAGGCTATAGAGTAGCTAAACATAGAGTCTAATTTCTCCCTAGACTCTTAAGGAATTCTGTTTTTAGGTTCACCTTTCATTCTTACCCATGACACTCTAATGTCTCCATTTCACGACCTTTTCCAAGGTTCTGTACCTCAAATTGGCTTTTTCTGTTGTTGTTGCCTTTTCCCTCCCTGTTGATATTTAGGTTTCAGCTTCTTTTAGTCATATCTTTCATTTTCTTTGTCTTTATCACTTTTGTCACTTTTTATTCACTGTAGGGTATTTCTGAAGGAAATAAATAACAAGCACATATGTTCAATCTCGCGTATTTGTCCTGTCAGGGTTTTTCAAAAGAATTCTTGAAATTGGAAAACCTATCCCAGGGGAAATAGCCACTCAATCCACACTTGTCTCTTAAGGGAGGAAATAAGTGAAGCTTGGCTTATGTCATCTTTAGAGGTTGCCACATCTGAGATAAAGCACAACAAAGTATTTTCATTAATTTAAGTATCAGGGACTTGTAAAAACTTGTAATGACATTTCCAAAAGTGTTTCTTAATAGGCATAGGGATATTGGCCAGTATCCCCTACCATATTTCTAACTAAAAAATTAATTCTGTAGAAATCTAAGTCCTAGTCCTCAAAAAAGGGGTTATCTTCTTCCACTATTGAATACCCTATTGTATCTCAGTTATTCATGTGCCATTCACAGGTACCATATGATGAATCCAGCATTTTTATAACCCGTAAAAAGAAACTAGGGAGATGTTCACATAGTTACGATCTTATGCCACTGAAACTTCCAAATGGTTTTCTACATTTACTACTAAGGTTGTTTTATAGTCATTCTACCCCTAGTAGTTCCTTTAAGAGAAGAAGCCTGATGATAGGCTGGTCATTTTGGCTGTATTTGAAACCTGTCAAAGTCCTATGATTTTTTTTTTTTCTACAAGTCTAGATTAATTGCAGTTTCCATAAGAGGCTTTTTTTTTTTTTTGCCAGTCGTGGGGCTTGGGTGCTGTCCCTCAGCTTTTCGGCTCAAGGCAAGCAGTAATCACCGCTTGAGCCACAGCGCCACTTTGGTTTTTCTGGTGGTTTATCGGAGATAAGAGTCTCACAGATTTCCTGCCTGGGCTGGCTTTCAACCAGGATCCTCATATCTCAGTAGCAAGGATTACAGGCATGAGCCGCTGGCGCCCAGCCATAAGAGGCATTTTTAAACATTAATTTTTAAAAGACTTGCTGGTGGCTCATGCCTGTAATCCTAGCTACTCAGGAGGCTGAGATATGAGGATCCTGGTTAAAAACCAGCCTGGGCAGGGAAGTCTGTGAGACTCTTATCTCCAATAAAAACCACCAGAAAAACAGAAGTGACACTGTTACTCAAGTGGTGAGTGCTTGCCTTGAGCCGAAGAGCTGAGGGACAGAACCCAGGCCCAGAGTTCAAGCCCCACTACCTACCAAAAAAAAAAAAAGACAACATTTGTATGATACTTTATAAGTTTATAAATTCTTTGTAAATTTATGTAACACTTTAGAATTATTTTGCATACATTTTCTCAATGAACCACATTATGCTTAATAATGACCGTGTTTTAAAAATAGGTTTATTAGAGTCATTTATCTTTCTCCTTTTGAGGATATCATAGTCACTGATCAAAAATTTCAGTATTTTGTTGTTGATCATGAATTGATAACCTGCTTTACTTCTAATGTTCCCCCCATCTTTTATTTTCCTTTCTTCTTTTCTCTTTTCCCAGGAATCTAACAAGAAGGGAATGCAGTCCTTTAGTTTGATGGAGCTCTGCAAAAACAGTGACCGGAAACAAGCAGCTGCCAAATTTTATAGCTTTCTTGTCTTAAAAAAACAACAGGCTATTGAGCTGAGCCAGAGTGCTCCCTATGCTGATATTATAGCAACAGTGGGACCAAGGTTCCATGACCTGTAAAGTAAATCCAGAACATTCAGGCTTATGTTATCACTAGTATTTCTATTTAGATTGTTCAGTTTAATGCAGAAGAGACAAGGAAGTGGCTGAAGGTCTTATCCATTTCTCAGATAGGGTGATCTCCTATTCCCTCTTCGTAAAGTCAGAATAATCATAGCCAGAATTGGAAACCTGTATGATTACAGAAATAATCATAGTTAAGCATTGTTTTTAATTTAGCTTACTTTAATGTATAAGTATCATTTCCCTGAGTTAAACGTTGTGTTTAAGTTTAGAATATATTGTAAGAATAAGATATACCTCTGAGAAACACTTAAGGAGTTTTTCAAAACCTATATTATAAATACAAATAAAGTTGCTATTAACATTGTTGGAAAAGTTTGTGTGTAAATATTTTTATCTTCCCTGGGTATAGAGGTAGAACTGGTAAGTCACATAATTTATGTTTAACTTTGATAAACTATCAAGCTGTTTTCTTTTTTTTTTGGGTCTGGTCATGGGGCCTGAACTCTGGGCCTGGGCACTGTCCCTCAGCTCTTCAGCTCAAGGCTAGCGCTTTACCACTTGAGCCACAGTGCCACTTCCAGCTTTTTTTCTTTTTGCTTATGTGGTGCTAAGGAATCGAACCCAGGGCCTCAGGCATGCAAGGCAAGCACTCTACCACTAAGCCACCTTCCCAGCCCCTATCAAGCTGTTTTCTAAAGAGCTGCACCATTTCACATTTCTACCAACAATGAATCTCAGAGTTCCAACTTCTCTTTGTCCTTGCCGACAGTTGTTATTGTCCATTTTTTATTGTACTCATCCTAGTGAGTGAATTTGATTGTTGTTTTTGAATGATCAGGAAATGAGTATATTTCCTATCTAGCATTGTTACCTCCTCCTTTGTTTTCCCCCTACCATCCCCTCCCCAATTCCCCCTCCCCTGCCAAAGTTGTAAAGTTCATTTTCAACAGTATCTTGTACATCTCATTGTTACAAGGGGTCAACCTATATCCTTATTTATGCATTTTGTTATTTCCCTTCCCCTCCCCAAATTAGAAAAATGTATATATAAGATGCAGAGCACCAGAATCAAATACAGTGAAAACAGAGGTTATACCGTGGGGGAAGAACATACGAAAGAAACAATATAAAATCACATAGTACATTATAAATATGTTAAAAACAATAGCAAGAAAGAAAAAACCACTTGTATCCCTATCTTGGGGTTCATTTCACTTAACATCATCTTATAGCATCATATGTACATAGCTTTTGACCTTTTCTGCTTATCCTAGACATACAGTAGTTATTGCAAATAAGGGAAACCATGGGACCTATGTTTCTTTGGGTCTGGATTACTTCACTTAATATAATTTTTTCCAAGTCTTTCCATTTCCTAACAAATGGGCGATATTATTCTTTCTGATGGAGGCATAGAATTCCATTGTGTGTGTGTGTGTGTGTGTGTGTGTATACTTATGTATATCACATTTTCTTGATCCATTCATCTACTGAGGGGCATATACATTGATTCCATATCTTACCTATGGTAAATAATGCTGTGATAAACATAGTTGTGCTGGTAACTTTAGTGTAGCCTTGTTTGTGATTGGTTGGGTAAATGCCCAAAAGTGGGATTGTTGGTTCACAGGGGAGCTCTATGTGGAGTTTTTTGAGGAACCTCCATACTGCTTTCCAAAGTGGTTGAACAAGTTTACACTCCCATCAACAATGTAGTAGGGTTCCCTTTTGGCCACATCCCCTCCAACTTCTGTTGTTATTTGTTGATTTGTTGATTGTAGCCATTCTAACTGGGGTGAGGTGGAATCTCAAATGTTGTCTTTCTTGATTTGTATTTCTTTTATGGCTATAGAAGTTGAGCATTTCTTCATGTGTCTATTGGTCATTCTTATTTCCTCTTCAGAGAAGTTTCTCTTTAAGTCTTTAGCCCAGGTATTTATCGGGCAGTTGTTTGAGGATTTGTTGTTGGGGGATTTAATTTTTTGAGTTCTAAGTATATTTTAGATATGAGACCCTTGTCCATTGTATGGCTAGTGAAGATCTTCTCCCAATCCATGAGCTTTCTTCTATTGATCTTGCTAATTATGTCCTGGTAAGGATTTTTGTATCCATGCTTTAAGAGATATTAGTGTCTATTTTTTCTGATTTTTGTGTTAGAGTAAACTGACTTTATAAAATAACTTGAAATGTGTTTCCCATTCTTATCTGGAAAATTCCATAGATCTTTTTTTATTATTTATTCTTTAAAAGTTTAGTATAATTTATACCACAAAAGCATCTAGATCTAGAAATGTTTATGTTGAAGGGCTTAAAAGTATTAAGAATATAATAGCTAAGCCGGGCGATGGTGGCTCACGCCTGTAATCCTAGCTACTCAGGAGGCTGAGATCTGAGGATCGCGGTTCAAAGCCAGCCCGGGCAGGAGAGACTGTGAGACTCCTATCTCCAATAAACCACCAGAAAACCGGAAGTGGCGCTGTAGCTCAAGTGGTAGAGCGCTCACCTTGAGCTGAAGAGCTGAGGGACAGTGCCCAGGCCCAGAGTTCAAGCCACACGACCGCCAAAAAAAAAAAAAAAATAGCTGTAAGAGTATCAGTTTTCTGTTTTATTTTGAGTGAGTTTGGTAGTTTCTGGTTTCAAGATCTAATTCATCTACCTTGGTTAGTTTATGAATGTTAGTTGTTTCATGTATTCCCTTATGTATCATTTTAATGTATATAAAACCTGTAGTAATAATTCCTTCTTTCATTCCAGATATTACTAATTTATATCTTCTTTTATTTCAGTTGCTCTAAAGGCTAGAAATTTTATTGGTCTTTTCAAAGAACCATACTTTGGTCTGTGGATTTTTCTCTTTTGTTTTCCTGCTTTCGATTTCATTGATTTCTATATCTATATTCATTATTTCTTTCCTTTGGAGCTTGCTATACACTTATTTTGCTTTTATTTCTCTGGTTTTATTGAAATAGAAACTTAGATCATTGATTTGTTATCTCTCTTCTTTTCTAATATAAACACATAATGCTATATATTTCCCTTCAAGCACTGAGTTAGCTCTACATTTTTGATATGTTGTATTTCTACTTTTTTTTTTTTTTTTGTCGGTCGTGGGGCTTGAACTCTGGGCCTGGGCACTGTCCCTCAGCTCTTCAGCTCAAGGTGAGCGCTCTACCACTTGAGCTTCAGCACCACTTCCGATTTTCTGGTGGTTTATTAGAGATAGGAGTCTCACGGTCTTTCCTGCCGGGGCTGGCTTTGAACCGCGATCCTCAGATCTCAGCCTCCTAAGTAGCTAGGATTACAGGCGTGAGCCACCAGCACCCGGCAATAATGTTTTAAATCGCCGAGGTTCTGAGTGCTCTATATAGTTTTTTTTTTTTTTTGTCGGTCGTGGGGCTTGAACTCTGGGCCTGGGCGTTGTCCCTCAGCTCTACAACTCAAGGCAAGCGCTCTACCACTTGAGCTACAGTGCCACTTTTCTACTTTTATTCAATTAAAATATTTTCTAATTTGCCTTGGTACGTGCTCTTTGACATGCAAAGTGTTTAGAAATGTGTTGTTTAGTTTTTGAGTTATTTTCTTGCTATTTTTCTGTAAAAAAAAAAATATATATATATATATATATATATAATTTATTTATTTTTTGGTCATGGGGCTTGAACTCTGGGCCTGGGTGCTATCCCTCAGATTTTCAGCTCAAGGCAAGCACTCTACCACTTGAGCCACAGCCCCACTTCCAGTTTTCTGGTGGTTTATTAGAGATGAGTTTCATGGACTTTCCTGCCTCAGCTGGCTATATCAGCAGTGCCCCGCCTACATTTTCTATCTAATTCTGTTTTGTTCAAAGAACATATTTTAAATGATATTGATACTTTTAACTTTTCATTTTATTAAATTTGTTCTGTCTTCTAAGATTTCTGATAAGAAATCACAATTGTTCCAATTACATTATTCCTATATAACAAGCACATCATTGTTCTCTGCTTTTTCAAGATTATTTTCTTGGTCTTTAGTTTTAAACAGTAACAAAATATTGCTTACGTCATTATTGTTAATTTAGTTTATCATCTTTGAAGCTCACCAGAAAGCTGGAACCTGAACTTTTAGCTGCTGTGCTCTGTTTTGATTCCTATTTCCAAAAACTGTATCTGCATAGAGAGCTAGGCAGTAAGAGGACCAAAAGAGACAAATATCAGCAACTGGGGTTGGAGACCTGGCTCAGTTGGTAGAGCACTAGTCAATGAGAAAAGGCAGCAGGTCCTGAGTTTGAGTCTTGGTCTCGGACCTAAAGAAAAGAATAAGAAAAGAAAAAATCAGCAATATTTACCCTCCCTCAGGAAGCTACTTTAATTGGAGAACTTTCTCGCCATCCACTCATGCCATGCCCTTGAGTTTTAGCTTCCTACAGCTTCCTGCCATCACAGCCACTACTGTAGGGTTACCTGGGACCTGGTTTGTGAGAAAATAGAGAAAAGACTTAAAGAGAAAAGAAAAACTATCTCTCCCATTCACTGTACGCATCAGAAGTCTCCTAATCTTTAAGCAAGACCTAGGCTTAGGGAGTGGGGTACAGGTAGTAATTGGGAACTTTCTCTGTAGATTGCCAGTTTAAGAATTTGTTCTGCTTTGAGACCAGGCTGGGAGTTATCAGAGGAAGCAAAAATGTTAAGTTCACCACTACTTCATCATTTCTTCAAATTCTGGCCTTAGTCCCTAATTTGCCTGTTATTTTCTCCTCAGAATCCTCAAGAATGTATTTTGTACTGGTTTTATTGCTACAATCAGTGGGAGGTGGGTGCTTACCTAGAACTGGAATGAAAACTGCTTTTGAAACTAAAAGAAACTTAAATTTATTTCCTAGGTAGTCCAAAACAAAATTACTGATTTCTTTGGAATAATTTTATTTATGTTTATAATCCTCCTTTGTTGTAATTTACATTATCACTAAACAGTTTGTTCTCCATCACTAGCTTTCTGATGCTCAGGAGAATTCTTTGCTGGCTAATACCATTCCAGATGGGAATAATGTGGGCGAAGAAGCTCTCTTGCTTTGGGAACATTCCTAGAGGAGATTTCTGGGAAATGTAGTCTTCTATCTACTACTCAAAATAAAACATGGGGGGGGGGGAAACAAGAAATTTTTAACAAAGAAATTTTCTCTTCTAAACATACAGTGATTACATGTATTCCTTTGGTTTTGCTTATAAAGAGAACAAATAATTCAGGTGGGCATTTTGACACAGACAATTCATCAATTAACTTGCTAATACAGCTTTAGGTTTTTGTAGGCCTCAACATTTCACATGCCCTTTTTAATCATTTCCAGTTCCTGGTACAATTGCTCTGACATGTTTCTTCACAATGTATAATATAGTGATAGTTGATAGTCATCTGATAGGAAAATTCAACTTAATTGGACGTATGGGAAAAATAGGTCAGAAAGCATATAGGCACTTGTTGGGAGGGAAGACTGTAAAGTAGAAATAGAAACATGGAAAAAGATGACTTTAAAAATAATAGGAAATTCTAAATAATGTGTACATGTACATTATAAATATCTATTTCTCACTAGGACAATGTTGCAAAGTCAGTGAAGTTACTTTTGAGGTTCTTGGTTCTCAGCTTGAATGACAAAGAGGAATGTTTTGGTGGGGGAAGCTAAATGGGAAGGGAGAGGAAAGGAGAAGGTAAGTGTGTGTGAATATGATAGAAGTACATTAAATATATGTATAAAAATAGCATAACATAGCCAAGTGATGGTGGCTCATGTCTGTAATTATAGCTGCTCAGGAAGCTAAAATCTGATGATCACAGTTCAAAGCCAGACCAGGCAGGAAAGTCCATGAGACTTTTCTCCAATTAAGCACCAGAAAACTGGAAGTAGAGCTGTGGCTCGAAGTGGTAGAGCGCTAGCCTTGAGCAGAAGGTCTCAAGGACAGTGCCCTCACCCTAAATTCAAGCCCCACAACAGACAAAAAAAAAAGCATAACAAAACCCAGCAAAAAATTTAAAAAGAAAGGTAAGGAAGGGAGAATGGATAAATTTAATCAAAATACATTATACGTTCATAAATATCATGATGAAATCCCCTTGGACAATGAATTTATGTTTAAGTTTCTAAGAAAATCAACGGGGTGAGAGGAGAGGGTATGAGTTCAGCCTTGGCAAGAACAGACTTAATGATGAGCCTTCAGACAAAAGGACATCTAAGATGGTACCTGGCTAAGTGTTTTTAGAAGACTAGAGCCTGGCATAATGTACTTTTGCTCATTCACTCGGCTGTTATTTATTGAGCACCTACTATATGTTAGGCTCTGTTCTAAGCCTTGGGACCATAGCCAGGAAAATATGAAGTCCCCCCACACCACACACACACAAAGTATCCATTCTAGCGAGATGATAAAACTCATAATAAATATACCATATGTTGGTAAGAGCGGGGGTAGAGGAAAATACCTATTTTATGCAGGTGATCTAGGAAGGCCTAGGTGAAGCCTAGCCCCCGGGGCAGGGGCCAAGGAGTGAAGCTGCAAACCGTGTGCATCCGGAGTGTTTTAGGCCGGGGGGGGGGGGGACAGCAAGTACGAAGGCCCCAGCCGAGGCCTCAGCCAGGAAGGCCATGCGGGTGCAGGTAAAGCTGCGGAACAGGTCAGAGGTGCGGTAAGATGAGGACAGATGGCAAAGGTGACATCAGCACCAGGTGATTCTGAGCAGAGGAGTAGCTCAGGAGAGTTCACGAGCGCCCCACCCCACCTCCCTTCCGCACGTGGGCCAGGGAAGAACCCAGTCCCCGAAGCTTGACCTCCTGAAGTCCAGAGCTGGAAGCGGACCGTGGCTCCGGGTTCCCGCAGCCTAGCAGCCGGAAGACGGAGGGGAGGGCCGGGGGCGTCACGAGCAAACGCCTCAGCTCTCCACGGCCAGGTGTGTGGGTGCTGTCCTCTTAGTAATTCCCGCGGCGGCGGCGGCGGGGGCTCAGGCGCGGCCCGCCCGCCCGGGGCGCCCCTGCTGTGCAGACCTGCTTTGGGGAGGGGGGCGACCCTGCTGTGCGAGCCGTCCCACATTCGGGACCCCCGGAGCGGCAAGGCCTGGCCCGGGCCGGGGTGTCGGCGGGCCAGGGCGCCTCCCGCCCCGCCCCCCGCCCGCTCCGCCCCGGAGTCCCCGCAGCAGCGCCCTCCGGAGGGCGATCAACTATCTCTTTAAGAAGGAAAGTGAGGCCCGGCGGCTTACGCAGCTGCCGGCGGCCGCCGACTGGCTGGTCGCCGGCATCCACCTCCCCGCCCCCCCTCCCTCCCGGCAGCGCCCGGCCAGCTCGCGGCCAGCCGCCTGCAGCGAGGGCTCGGCGCGGCGCGGCGGCCGTCCGGGGCCAGGGCAGCCAGCGCCATGGACGCCTTCGCAGGTGATGCCGGGGCCCCCGGGGGACCCGCGGGCCCGCCGCCCCGCCGCGCCCCAGCGTCCGCGCGGGAAGGGGCGGCGGGGGCGGCGGGGGACGCGGAGTTGCGGACCGCGGCCCCGCGCCCGCGCTCACCCGCCCGCGTCGGTCTCTCCTTCCTTCCCCACCGCCGCAGGTTGCTGAGCGCGGGGCCGGGCGGCTGCGGCTGCGGCGGCGACTGCAGAGGCGCTGCGCCAAGCCGGGCCGGAGTCGTGCGAGCCGGCGGGACTGCGGTGGGCGAGTGGACCCAGGTGAGGAGGCCGCGGCCGAGCGGGATGGGGCGGGGGGGGGGCCGCGCCGCTCCCCGCCTCCGCCCGCCCGGCGACCCGGGGCGTGGGGGGGGGGCTGGCGGACGCGCGCTGCGCCAGAACCTCAGGGGGGACCAGCCGAAGGGGAATCGATCGTGACTCACGTCCCCCACCCTTCACTCCCCTGCATCCTCCACAGCACCCCCGCCCCCACCCCGCGCAGCCGCGAGATTCACCCGCGGGATGCTGCGGGATGCAGGCCAGACGCCCAAGGTGGGCGGTTGGGGAGGGGGTGGTCTTCAGCAACTCCCCACTCCTCCCGACCCTCTTCTGGCCTTGGGCAGACACCGAAGCGTCCCGTGTCTGTTTTGAACACCCACACCCACCCCAAGGTCAAGTGCCAATGACTGTTTCCTTCCCATCTTCCCCTCTGGGATGCACCAGAGCCCTCCCTGCAGTAGATCCGGGAAGGGCGGGGGGGGGGGGCAACACCCATTCCTCTAGAGTAGGACATCTGCCTCCCTGGAGCTTCCGCGGGGACCCCCTCCCCAGCAGAGAACCAGGCTGGCTTGCAACACCTGCTGGCCCGGGAAGCCCATATTCCCTGCCTCAGCCCTGCAGACTGAGGAGAGGCCTGATCACATGCCGCCTCCCTCCGTGGCCTTCTCTGCCCATCTGGTGGTGTGGGTTGGGAAGTAGGAGCTTCACAGAAGAAAAAAAAAAGATGGTCTCTGTGAGGAGGGTGTCAGAGATTTAACTTTAAGGCCCTTAACTAGCTAGTTGGTCACAGTAGCCATCTTACAGTTCTTTGGGCGTAGGTGTCTGTCTGCTGATTTATTAAAGGCAGGAATTGTAGGATTATAGAGTGCCACTTGGGCTGCTTTGACATGTTGTGGGGGGAGCCCCTCTCCTGAAACAACTTAGGTTGAGGACCATGGAGTGATTGGGGGTTTCCTTGGTTGATCTCTGTCAACTCTGGACTTCTCAAGAGAAAACATCGACCTTGGCCTGGTGGAACTGGAAGCACCTGTCGGTCCTGCCGTGGCCTTCCAGAGCCGTGGCAGTCCTCCTGGCTCTCAAGCTTGGACTTCTCCAGCTGTAAACCTGGGGAGGGGGCCCAGCCTCAGAGGGTTGTCATGAGGGTTAAATGAGATATGTGAGGAAGCTCCTGAAATAGTGCCTGTGCCTGGCACCTAGTAAGCTCTCAGAGACTCAATACTTAGACAGAGAGACAGACAGACTGACTGACTAGGGGGAGAGGCTGCTTTTAGTCCTCCCTTACCCTGCCAGTCTCTTCCACACCTCTGTGGAAGGTGTCCCTGCTAGAGAATAACAAACGCTGGACTGTGTTGAGCCACCAGGCCGAGGCAGCACCCAGGAGCTGCAAACATTGGCTGTGACATCATTTTAGAAAATGATGGTCGCAAGGACCATCATGTAGAGCCCAGCCCTGGGTTTGCACCCCCACTCCCCTCCCTGTGGCGTCTCCAAGGGCACAGAGGCATCCACATCTTGTGTGCTGCCAGGGAAGCAGGGACCAAGTCTTGCAAATTTTACATGAATCCCACTACAGCTCTCTTGGCCTCCCTGGAGCCCCTCGCTCCACTGTCCCTGAGACAAGGGAGATAAGTTTTGGGTGCCCGTATTTCCTATTCATCTTCCTTCCTGCTGTCATTTTCAACCTACCGACCAGCTTTTTTTTTGTTCTAGTTTGTTCCACAGATACCTTCTGCCTTTTGAAGCAAGATAAAGGCTGCCCACAGGGTGGGGAGGAACATTTTGCTGCTGTATCATATAGGCCAAAAGGAATCATCATGTCCCCTGCTCTGTCCTAGATCCCCGTTAGACTGTGAGCGCCTCTCAGCAGAGGCCCAGGCGGCTCCTCTGTGTCTCTAGTCTCTGGCTCATGACTAGGGACAAAGTAAGTGCTTAGTAAGTGTTGAATTGAATATGGTAGGAAAGGTGGTAATCTCTAACCAACCAGGTTGGGGAGAAAGTACAACGTATTTCTGCAGCAGGTGAGAGGACTGCGAAATATAGGGTACTGCACAGGTGTTGATTATCACAACTGCTACTGTCACTCGTACCATTGCTCTGGCCATTGCCAGTGGTTGAAGAGTATTTTTCCAGCTCCTCTAAGCTTCCTGACGAGGACCAGAAGAACCAGATGTGCCTGGGGGAAGGGGGTGCTGTTGGCAAGCAGGGGTCCAGATGGTGCTGGCTGATGTAAGCTGAGACTGTGAAGGGATGAGGATTTGAGGAGTAGTTGCAGCCATTGCTGCATGAGCAGGAAGGGAGAAGGTCAGAAGAATCAAGTGAGCCAACTTAGGCGGTAGAAAAGTCAGGAGACCTAGATCCCAGGCCCTCTTGCACCCCAGCCTCCTTGTATGACCTTGGGTCAATCAGGCCCAGCTTCCATGTCCTATTTTTATACGGAGGGGATTGGGGACGAGTTAATCCCTAAGGCCCCTTCTGGTTCTGGAATTTTGTCAAATAGATGTTTTAAAAGAAAGGTGGGCAACCCTTTATTACTCTTTGGATCACTTATGGAATCCTGGACCATTCTCTATCCTCATAACAAATGATATTTGAAAATAAGGAGACGGAAGCACAGAGAATGAAAGGGATGAGCTCACGACTGCACAGCTGGAAGTGATGGAGCTAGGGGCCTCTCCAGCTTAGGAAGCGCATGCGCTTCTAAAGGTTCCACCGACTGCCCACACAAACCATGCAGTCGTGAGCAGTATGTGTGCCCTTGTGCCCTGACACCGGGTTTTCAAGCCAGTAAGGGAATGAAGGATTCAAGATGAGAGAGCCAGCATTTTCCCAAAGTGACTGCTGCAGAGGACTGGCAGGGTTGAGCTGAAGAGTGTGTGAGTCAGAACTGCAGGGTTTTCACCAGGATCTCTGCTTGGCTGAGGGGGAAATGGGTGCTTCCTTACCCAAGAGAATGGCTGGGTCCAAATGACAGTCCTGACAGACAGCTTTTGAGTGCTTCCTATGTGCTTGCTGTTTTGCATGTTCTCAATCACGTACTTTTCAAGTCATTTTACAAGTGAAGAAGCCAGAGCAGGCAGGCCAAGAATTTTGTCCGGGGTTCTACAGCTAATGTATTCTAGATCTTAGAAGACGTATAGCTGGAGGCACATTGGATTGGAAGTCGGGGCATTGCTTCTCATCTGAGCCCTTCCATTGACTAGGTAACCTGGGGTGAGCCAGTGGCTCCATCCCTCTATTGGATTGTATGTGACATTTTGATCTAAAAGGCCTCATTTGTGATCTTATGCCAATACTGGGGTGTAAGGGATTTCTGGTCTTGATGAACATGGCTCAGAATTTATTGTTTCTAGCCAATAACATTCCATACTCTGGGCCAAGAGTACAGGATGTGGAGAGAGTAAGAAATGATCCCTAATTTTCACAGCTAACAGAAGGAGAAAGATACCCAAACATGTAGGTTTTGAAAAGATGTCTAGGAGTTGTGTGGCATAGTGATCCAAGGGTACAGGGGAGCAGAAAGAAGGTGGGAGATGGTCTGTCCTCCTGATGGATCTGACACCATGGCTATGGGAGTAGAATGCCATTGTCATCTTATTTCTTGTGCTGATTGCTGGAAATAATAATAATGCTTACAACAGGATTCTACATAGCTTGACGTTTACAAACAGTGCTAGAGACCTCTTGGTTCTAGTTCCTAACAGCTCAGACGATGGCCAGACAGTAGGAAGGACCATTCATTCCCACTTTGTGGCAGTTTCAATTGAACTATCCATTCGTCCCAGTTAGACCAAAAGCTTCTGTCCTTCAGACTTCTAGAAGCAAGACTTTGAAATTTCTGGTTGGAAAGCCTATCTGGTGTCTATAACCATCCAGTAGGCTTGGGGGTTTCTCCTTCTGGGTCCTGAACATTCCATCTATTAGAGTTGCAGCTCAGCCTGGAGAGGTGGGGACATTTACCCAGGACTAGTCGGCAAGTTTGGGACCACCATACTGTCTGGTGGGAGTTGCATGTCTGTACCACATGGGATATCGCTGGAGCTAGGCCACTATGGCCTGTGGGCCTTTTCTTATCTGCTGGACAGCTGGCACCAAGTAGAGGTTTGATGCGGGTTTGAGCTGAGGGCCCTGCAGAGGAAGAAGCCTGTGTTCCCAGACTGCTTTGCATCTTTAATGGATGGGCATTTTTGAAGTGTTTGTCACATGCCCAGCACTGTCCTCTGAATAGAGGTGCTGAGCCAAACAAAAAACAGGAGAGTCTGGGATGCAGCCCGGTGCTGTGGAAAGAGCCAGCAATGAGGAGTCAGGAGACTTGTTCCTCACTCTGGCTCTGCCATGGACACACTGGGTAGCCTGGGGTGAGGGCCTTAGCCTTCCAGACCTGCTAAATGGGCATCTATAAGGGCTCTTCAAAATCTGACACGCTAGCCATCCAGCAACACTTTCTTCTCTCTAGCTACTTCAGGGGGAGTGTAAGGGTAGACAAGGTACAGATAACTGTAACTTGAGAAAGAATGAGATACACGTAACAAACAGAAACAAAGCTCTGTGGATTTGCTGGAGAGGGAGGGCTTGGGAATGGCTTGACTCAAAAGCCACCTCTTCAAAGACAGGATGATGGAAATACAGATAGATGGACTGCAGTGTGCTTTGAACCAGGAGCAGGAGGAGCAGCCTTCTGCTGCACGGAGCAGGAAGGATAGCAGTTCTGGACTTGATTCACAGAGATCGTACGTTTCGGAATCTAGCCTGAGTTGGCCAGTTTTCCATTTCTCTAGATAAGGTCATTTCAAATGGCATCTTGAGTTCTGTTTACTACTACATAGTAGGAGACAGAGCCTTTGAATGCCTCTAACTTCTAAATTAAAAACAAAAAAAAAAAGCTATCATGTCAGGACAAAAGGAACCACTTCAAATTGTATACAGTCTGCTCTTTGTTTTTTCTCGTTTTTACGGCACTCGGGATTGAACTCAGGTCCTGGAACTCACCTTCTGCCACTTGAGCT